CTCTCTCTCTCTCTCTCTCTCTCTCTCTCTTTATCTAGTCCTTTTTATTCTTCTTCTTCCGCTTTTCTCTACTTCTCATCGCTCATATACGTCCTTCCTAAATAGTCTGTCAAATTGAGGGGTTTACTCCGAGGTTCCAAATAAGCGGTCTCGGCTAGGACTGTAGAAACCAAGTGTTGCATTCCATCGTGGCGATCAATCAGGCGAAACGTTCGCTGGCAAGTCCAGCAATAGGTCTAGATTATATTTGAAAAAGAAGCAAAACGAGGCTTTGGTCCAAAACGTAGCTTCTCCATAAGTTTGTTTGATGGGAACGAGGAGAGCAAACCACACCATAGTCCCTGTCATCCACCCATTTGGGGAGGTTGTTTTATCGACAACCCATGTCTGTCTGTTGGTATTGTATCCCATTCAGCCCGGGTTGACCCTAACAGACAGAGTCGAAGCAGCACACCTCCTAAATGATCGAAATTGTTTTAATTCTCCCTTAAGCATTACAGTTAAAAAAACAACCAGAACAAACTTACCAAGGTCAGGTTATTGCTTGAGTCCACCTACCTGGCTACCCAGCTGACACCAAACTGTTCCTTGAAAGAAACTGATGGGTCTGCAAAAGCAATGTCCCAAAGGATAACGTTACTTCCATGTTCGCTTTTCTCCGCTTTAAAGCTTCTTATACCCAATCACCTCGAACATTGTTTTATGCTGCGTTTCCTTCAAGCCCTAGTCATCAACATTGTCCTGTTCTGAGGCAATCATTCTGAGTCGGTAATTTGTACTCTACTTGCAGTTGTGTTGTTGTTGTTTTTCTTTAATTTTAATAATAATATGTGAAAACAAGTTCAACAGTTTTGATATGTACAAAGAGGTTTGAGGCTATTATAACTACATTTGATGCTAAATGTTCCAGAGAAATAAAACAAAGATTTACTATGACTAAGGATAGTTGTTTTTTATGAGCTCAATCCAGCAAACATAGTAACATCCCAGTAACTATCAAAATGAAAGTACTGAGAGCCTATGAGTGGTCAATTAATTTGTCTATACGGCTGTGAATGCTATGAAGATAAAGAAACAATATACTAGGGAGACCGTTGATAATTTCTTCGTAGGAAAAGAAATCAAATGAAGTGGTCCTTGAAGAATACCACGCGGGCTGCTCGCCTATAAAAACAATCAAGGAAAGACATAGACTCAATGCTGTTTCTGCGACACTTGAGTAGTCATAAAGACCTTGAACGTCTGGGTCTCATGAGCAAAATCAAACGCAAACAAGACAGAGGTAGACCCAGAGTAACCTATGTGGAGTGCTGAAACGGAAGGATTACGAGGAATGATCAGGATATTGTAGCTTTTTGAGAGTATCCGATCAAATGAATAAATGGAGAACCACGATTGCCTACAACCGTTGCAGATCTAACACTTGATGGTGATGACAACAATGTCATGTTTTTTTGTCATAACGCGATGGAATCAGGCGGGCGTCAATTTTGGGGTATATGGAGTTGTTGATATCATCTTAAATCCTGCTTATTAGCGTTGCTTTTGATGAAAAAATACCCACCATTCTGAAATATAAGTCGGGACATTTGCAAGGGCAGGAAGTGGGGGGTCGGCTTGTGTCAGAAATAAAGTTAGTCAGAAAATTGCCTCCAAAGTTTGGTGACTTCCAAAACTGAAATGTCCTTGGAAATTGCAAAGTTACTATTTTGTGCCTTTGGTCAACGGATGTTTTCTTTTACAGTAAAATCCACATACGGGGAGAAAGGCATCTTTCTATTGAATAAGATGCTAAGCCCCCCTAAAACTGAACGAAAACGTTTGCTTTTGCTTTGATCGTTGGGGAGGAGTGGAGGAGGCGAGGAAGGGAACGTGATATGCTTATTAGGGCTATATGTAGTCAAAATAGGCACTCCATTTTTTAAAATATAATCTGCCAATTCAAGTCGTTTGCGAAATGTCAAAATGTTATCTAAGTGTTACTTTTACTACAATTATATTTTGTCCTTAAATTGTCTGTTTCCTATCCATTTTTTATCTTCTCTTTCTCTCTCTCTCTCTCTTTCTCTCTCTCTTTCTCTCTCTCTCTCTCTCTCTCTCTGTCTCTCTCTCTCTGTCTCTCTCTCTCTCTCTGTGTCTCTCTGTGTCTCTCTCTGTCTGTCTCTCTCACACAGAAACACAGACACAGACACAGAC